ACTGCTATATACGTTATCGACGCGGACAGGGGAATATCGTCGCTGTAGGTAATTTCAATAATTTGTGTCCGGCTGTGGAGAAAAGTCTGAAAAAAGTAAGTGGCCTCTCGCGCGCGCATTATTACCCCGCCATAAATCAGCCAACAGCCTTGGGACAGCGCCGAGATGGAATTCTCCTATGCGTGCATGCGTAAGTTAAAAAAATCAGATTAAAATATATAGGCACCCATCCCTGATTGCATCTTCGATTATAATTATATTGATCCCCGACTTGAAAAAAAAACATAGAAAAGGGATGAGAGGAGAAAATCTCGGAACTCCCTCTCTTCTATGTTATTGGATAAATAGAAAGTGCGCGGAAAGGTGCGGATTTTTTAATTAAACAAAAAGGTGTTGCGATCATAATCAGCAAACAAGGGTTGAAAATCAATTATCCGTTCCCAAAGATTTGTTTTGGCGACGGCAGGGGGTTTGGCGAAATTGAGTTTGGTCTGTTTCTTTTTTTATAATATGTAGTACGTGGCGGCAGGCCCGTTCTATCTTTGGCTTGGGTTTGGCCCGTGGGCAAAGGCACGCGCCTTCCAGTAACGTGTGCCTCCAACCCAAAGGTGCTGCCGCTGGTCCTTCTCTCCGGCAGCACAATATTAACTCGAACGGCTCGAATATATTTTTTTCTTACGAATTTATCTAAATAAGAAGAGATATTTGAAGGCCAACCGCTAATTCGTCTTTGATGTTTTAATGAAGCTCCTTTTAACACGGCTGATTTTTTAACTTACGAGCGTAAGGACTGCAAAAATAAGAAGTACTTATATCAGCCAATTGCCAATTGGATATCGTTGGAGGAAAATTCTCTTCTCTTTATTTACTGCTTAAAAATGGCTTTATTTGCTATTGGTGTATTGACATAATTTTGTGGGAGCTATGAGAGGATTACAATATAGCGAGTGCGAAAGAATATTTATAAATTAGTTACAATTTAAGGATATTGTGTTAGTATTTAAAAAAAATCATATTTGGTAAATATAAAGTTTAAGAGGTAATAATGAAAATAATGCATTTAAATTTTTTGTTACATTTATAATAAATTGAAGTAAAAAAATTGAAAAATTAATTTTTGCCTTTCATTTTTATTATAACAGATTATTAAATATAATACATATTTTTTGTATAACTACGTTTAATTTTTTTACTTTCTTTATTGTAACTTATTTATTTACTTAAAACAATGATTGTAGTGATTGATATATCTATTTTAAATAATAAAGAATAAATATCAAACTATCATATTATGTTGTTCACATAAATTAAGAATTATTATGAATTGATCATACTGATCCTTGTTTTTGCATTATAAATTAATCCATTTAATTTTAATTTTTAAATTTAATTTTAAATCATTTTTAAGACAATAATAATATTTATTGATAAATCTTTGTAAAAGGGGTTATTTAATTTCAGAATCAATATTTATTATTGTTTGGATGGGCCTCACAGCGAGAGCCAAGGGCTCTTCCCTACAACATTATATCCAATTTTTGCAATATCATATTTTCAATTTACTCTCCGCATCCCATTTTTTTCTCTCTCTCTCTCTCACATCTATCTATCACACGTGCGAGCTCGAATCTATCTACAAAGTGGATTTTTTGCGGTCAACCATCAATAACACAATTTTTGACACCTCGCGCAGCAAGGAGTGCGCGCGATTGCCAACAATAAAGGCGTCAGTCGGTTAGTTTTAAGGCGAACTAGTGCCCAGTAATGGGTGCTATCTCACCGCGCCGGAGATATAAAAACTCGCACAATCGATTCTGCGCTGAGCCTCTCCTTTGGACATAAATTAGTATTTTGCCAGAGAGTTGAAATAAAAAGAGAGGCGCTCGCTCAAACGAGCAGCCAATAGGTGGTAAAATTGATAGCAATCAGTTTCAATAGCAAGGTCGCATCCCGGCGCACGTTTTATAATAACATTATATCAAAGGCGAGATTTACTCTCTCGCGCGTTCGAATCTCCACTTTTATTTATAACACATTCGTAATTTTCTCTCATCTTAGCGCGATATTACGAGTTGATAAAATTAATATCGCCGCTGCCGCTCTTTGCAATAAACCTTCCTTGCTATAAAACAGATAAAGCAAGTAGTGGCCTAGGATGAAATTCCTTTGCTAAGGTACACACTAATTATTAGACCGTAATTAAAACATTTGCGGCTTCCTCTAATTTAGCAAATTTTAATTTCAGGTGCCACATAAATTTTGCAAGCTTTCAGCAAGTAATTTGTAATAAGTATCTAGAGATGCGTGTACGATAAAGCAGAAGATTTATTTTTGTGTTATTAAACTTTAATTTGGTTTAAAGAGTAGAACCACCAATTATTTTTTTCAGATAAATTATTTACAAGTTGCGCCATAAGGATTAGAATTTTAAAATATGTCAATTTTATTTGTTAATTTTTGAAAAAATTTAATTTGGAGTTAAAAATAATGCCAAAAATCGAAATCAATTGAAATGTGAAAATTTCACATTATGTTATACATAGAGTATCAACTAAAAATTGGCCTGTTTATTTTTATATAGATTTTTATATAGAAAATTGAATTCCAGGCTACGAAGAAAGGAACAGTAAAAGTACAAAAATGCAGTTTTCATTCATTCTTCTCATAGAAATTTCTTATTAATTTAACAAAATTTGAATTGTAAATTCTCGTATTTCGCTCCGTTTCTTCACGCTGAAACTTGTTCTCCACGCCGTGGACCAACATCTCACAATGCCGCGAGTCGGATTTTCACATGCAACCGCCCAAGTTAATCACACGTCAATTTTATTCTTTAAACTCTCGGAGCAGTGCGATAAAGATCCATGCACGAGAGAGAATGAGCCAGATTATTACCACACGAGATTCATAATAAGAATAAATAATACATTTTCTATCTCTCACGCGCATCACTTATACTTATTTTCTGAGTCCAGTATTAAAGAAGAAGTGCGTATCCATATCATGCTACCTGTTGGTTCTCTCGCGCGGTAGCAGATCAAAATCAGCGCACAATTTCGACCGTCCGACCGGCAGCGAGTTTGCTTCTGGTTATGTGAACAACGAAACTGTAATTTATTCAAATTCCATTGTGTGTTGTTTGGTCAGAGATTTATATACATGAAGGAAAAGAAGGAGGCTTTAAAGGATGAGAGAGAGATGCCCGAAAATTATGTTTATGAGGTGGCGCTGGTTGTTTTTTTAGCACTCGGCCAGGCCCGTTGCCTACCAAGAAGTGATTATTTATTCAAAGCAGACACTCGAGACGGCCATTCAGTAATTCAAAACAGATTCCTCTCTTGCAACAAATTAACAGAGTGTGGTATTTAATGAAAAATGAAACATGCAGAAAGTTTCTCAATTCTTTAAAATGGTTGTAAAATGAATTTTTTTTTACCCACTCAAAAAATTTCAGTTCAGTGGCTTTTACACAAAACATTATATTTAAATCTGCCAATTTTTTTTCAATAAATCATAGTTTATATGGCTGAAGCCCGGAGCCAAAATATAGAGCAGAATTAATTGTTTTTTCTTTGACCCAAAAACTAAATACTCAAATTGGCGATGAAATCATATTGCAAAGTCAAACATGAAAATCAAAAACCTTTTTAGCAAAAAAATGGAGTTGAAAATTTTTAGTATTATTTATCTATTTCAAGGATGGAACTTTTCCTAACGACGTTTATTTTTTGCAAATAAAAATCTTTTGATGTTTCCTCATCATTGCGTGTGGTGCTCTTTTGATCAGAAAAACAATGCAAGAGCAGAAAAAATTTCGGAGCAGCACCGCAAATTATTACTTTCAGAGAGACGATCCCATCTCAAATACGGCAGCTGAGAGGGCATTTATATTAGTTATTGATGTGCTCTATTGTATTTATGCTTCCCGATCCTACATAAAAAAATTAAAAAAAACACACTTGAAACGATAGATGGATAATAAGCTACGCATAAGAAATCAAACGAAAAACAAAATTTGCAACTTTTTTTCTAATTAAAAAGAAAAAAATTAATGAAAAAAAATGGAAAACGTTGCATTAAATAGAATAATCAAGCAGGACGGATTTCAGACAAGAAAATAAATTCCTCTTGGTCTACAGCCAGATTCCGCTTATGTATAACTTTGTAAAATGGAAATAATGAGGTCTCAGCGTGGTGTTTTCATCCCGAGCCAATGCGGGGAATAAAAAGTAAGAGTTATTTGTGAAGCTCGAATTAAAATTCCTGGACGATGACTTTTAATTAAACAAGGCAACATTTTGTGCACGTGGATAATTTTTTACAGACCACAAATTTGACGCGTTTCAAGAGGTCTCTTAAATTTTATATTATATATAACTACTATTTTTCCACAAAATTGGGATAATTATGCAACCGAGATTAAAATCACCCTTTACCGACGTCACAACTATGTCCGTGGAATGTAAAATCTATGAAAAAACTCGTAATGACGCCGGGCACATTAGTCTGTGTATATAAAGGAAAATATCAGCAGAAGGAACTCTCTGGAGTGGCCTACATTGTTGACTAAAATAGTGCATTCAATTTCAATCGAATATTTGTGCACATTTTTGCATCAGTGAAAATATCAATTTTAAAAATTCTTTTTTGAAAATAATACAATTTTGTATGCTCTTTCTAACTTTTTCAATTAAATACGTGTAGAAGTAATAAAAAATAGAATCATAAAAATGGTAAAATATCATTATAACTATACATCGCTATACATAATAAGTAATTTAGATAAAATTAGATGATAAAATGTGTACTTACAGTAACATCCTATCTCCTCTCTGCTGCTCGCTGCTGCACATTTCAATTCAAACTTCAACACGCTTCAAAATTCAAAATTAAAAAATTGTCCAAAATGAACTGTTCCGCCCTCAAGAATTCCTGCTTGCAGCGCCATAATATGTAGTAACAATTAATTAACCCAACAGGCATTGAACTGAACTAAACAACAGGCGTCGGCCCCACCCCTTTCTTTTCTCATCCGTCGCCTGGAAGATTTTGGTGCAAATTCACAATCCACGTATTATTTCTGCGATTACTGAGGAGTCTCTGGAGTCTTCGGTGTAAACGTGCCACCGTTTTTTGAGTAGATCATCAAGATGCTTCCCAACAATCAAATAAGCAGGTAAATTCAGTTGTTGTAAAGCGCGGACAACTGCGAACAACACGTGTGTTTTGCACGTGTTTCATTTTTAATTTGAATAGTGTTGAATTAAAACGCATGAATAAATTTGCGTGACCACTTTTTCAGGAAAAGAAAATCAGATGCAGAAAACAATGCAGATCCACTGCACACTCACTTCTGGCCATCGAGGATGGGCGAAAGACTGAAGGACGAACTTACCCTGTACACCGAGGGCTATTTTTATGACTGCACATTTGAAGTTGGCTGTAAAATGTCTACAAAGGTACATAATTGTAATACACTTTTAAAAATTAACAAATATATTAACTGTTCATATATAGTGTTCAATATCATATTCCCTATTGCCCTGCCACAAAAATATTTATTATTTTATATTGAATTTCATCATTAATGTTATTTTTGCAACACATTTGTAATCCATATTCAAATTAAAATATTTAATTTTTTTAAAGGTCTTCAAATGTCACAAAGTGACACTTGCTCGAGCGAGCCCTGTTCTTGGTCAAATGCTGTATGGCAACGAGTCCAATGGCAAAGATGATCCCATTCAGTTGAAACATATACAGCCTGAAGTATTTGATTTGGTCATGAGGTTTGTTGTAAAAGCTTAAGAAAAATAGGACATATTTTTGAATCAAAAAAATTTCAGATACATTTATGGTGGCGAAACTGACTTCAAAGATATGAAAACTGCTTGCAAGATCTACATGATTTCTCATGAGTGGCTGATGAATGACTTGACAAAAGCTGCTGCAAATTTTTTGCAGAATCCAAGTCCTGAGGACGTCATTACTGTGCATGAATTTTTTAAATCGATGAATGACAACTCGTATTGCAAAGCACTTCTTCAGGTATAATTTTCTATAATTTTTATCTTTTGGAAATTGAACCCATTTAATTTTGCAGATTGTTGCCTCTAAAACAAGTGCTGTTTTGAAGTCCAACGCTTGGTTGAAATCTTCTGCCTCTACAGTTTTGGAAATCTTTCAAATGGATCATCTTAATGTTAAGTACGAGATGGAGCTTTTTGAGGCTTTGTACTTGTGGGGATCTGCTGGTGGTATGAAGGAGAACGGGATTGAGGCAGAAGAAATCAAAGCTAAGACCGTCAAGGATGCTCTTCAACTAATCCGTTTCATGACCATGGATGTAGTTGAATTTGGAGAGCTGTGCAAATCTGAGGGTGCCAAAATGCTGACCGAAGACGAAAAGGTGAAAGTCTTCATGAGCATCAGCTTGGCTGATCAAAAACTCTTGCCAGAAAATTTTGCCTCTTCTCGATTTTACCACAAAGTAGACCGAAACAACGTGTTGCTGCGTACCTTTGTCAATACTACGGACAAAATCGTTCATAAGCAAGTGCTCTTAAACAGCAAAAGCAAGAAATCGGTTTTCACATTTGCATGCAAGGAAAATAGCTATTACCTGGGAGGTGTTTCCCTGGAATGCTTAAGCCACAAATCTGATGTTGAACTGATTTGCTATGTGACCTGTGCTCATTCACCAAAGATTCTCACTTCTTTTCACTTCAAAGGCGAGTATGCAATGTATGATTACAAGTGGCTCACTTTCCCACATGAGGTACATATCAAGGCAAACGTCTTTTACACCATTTCTGTTGAATACCTTCATAAAAATCCTGTCAAATCCTCCTCCTCATCTCATAGCTGCCAAACTTTGCAATTGACGGATAATTTGCAATTTTTCATGCCCGAGACAAATTTTTCTGTGGCTGACATCAGTGGATTCCTCTTGTATGTGAGCCCAGAATAAATTGGAACAGTGACAGTTTCAAGACTACCTAGCAGAGAAAAGTGGCCAAAATAAAATTTGATATGAATGATTATAATTATGCCTAAAAACAATAAGGTTCTAAATGCCTCGAGAATAGTGTAAATAATTTTTTAATAAAACTGCAAGAGGATCAAATAAAATGTACATGCACATTATTTCTCTAATTGCAGAACTCTATCGACCAAGTAGTGAACATTCAAAATTTTTTCCTCGAAATAAGTCATAATTTCTGAAAAATTTAAAACGCACAAAAATCAAGAAGCATTAAATGAATAAACAGTTCACACAATTAGGATTTAATTATAATTATATCAAAAATAATAATCATGATCCTTGCACATTTGCTGATTTTTATTCAAATTTTTTAGCCATGAAGAGAAAAAGTTTTAATAACTATGTAAATTTTCAACCATGAAAGAGCTAAATTGTGCATATGTCCCGAGTTTCCAACCCATATGCTCGACTTTGACCTTTTTGCACATCTGAATTTTCAGATTCATTGTCTATGTCTATTATAAGATTATATTAAAAACCTGGATTTATTTGCCGCTGCCACAACAATTAAACAAACCTCCTTGAACAAACCTTGCACTGTGACCTGCCGCGCCGCCAATCAGAGCGCAGCAGGCAGTGAACTCCTTGCAAGCACCTGAGCGCCTCGCCCAATCACATGCATTCTCGCACCGACGACCGACACCAACAAGACCGACACCTTGTTGACCGACACATTGACTTAGCGTGCACCGCAACCAAACCGCAACACTCGCGAGCAAAAACCCTCGTCTGAACCCAACTTATGGGTTCGAATTTCAATTCCACAACATCCTGAATGTACAACACACGCCTACTTCAATACATATACAACTAAAAAGAATCTTCTGGAGTTTAATTTAATTATTATTTTCCCTTTTGTGTTGGCCAGCCTGGCCCATACACCCACCCACAAGAAGGACAACAAAAGTACAACACCCTATTACACACCCATAGCAAGACAAAAGTTAATTGTTTTGGTTGGATGGATTTCGAATTTTTAGGATGAAAACATTCCTTATCTGTGGTTCTCAACTATCTTAAGTGTAGAAATTAATTGTAGCTTGTAGGTATATGTATGTACCAGTGTTAAAAGCCTCTCTCTGTCAAAAACAAGACCGTTCGGATCTTGTACACGAGGTATGTATGTATAATTATGTAGTATACTCAAATCTCAAACGACGTCGTGTGCAGGACCTCGATTTTTAAACGACAAATATTTAAGGACAATGTTTGCCACCTCGGTCTCGAACGGCCTTCGAGACCGTTCGAGGTCATCGTTTGACACCTTCGGCTTCGGGGCCGTTCAAAACCGTCAGAGGCCGATCGAGGTAGTTCGAGACCGAGAGATGCAACAGGTGCCCCTAAATATTTGTGATAAAAAAGGCTTCTAAATTCTAAAGGAAAAGGGCGACAGTTAAGAAACGTCTAGTCGGTCTAGTTAAATTGCATTTAAATTATTTCATTTATATTTTTGTGTTTGCACTGCACTGAATATAGATTAAAAACTCGTGAATTTTTTTGCCAATTACATACTTTTATGGATTTTTTTTTTGCTATCGCGAAACATAGTGTGATCTGGCGTTGCCATTATGCATATATATAGTAAATTAAATATATGAACTACATAGTATATAGGAACAAAACCATGGCTACGGAAGGCAAACCTGATCCGGATCCAGCCTCAACTGATTTGTGGCCATCAAGAATAAAGGAAGAGTTAGCTTTATTGTATGCTGAGGGCTACTTTTACGACTGCACATTTGAAGCAGGTGGTGGAACTACATCCAAGGTTAATTTTAAATTTAGCTTGACTTGAAATCCTGGAAAATATTCTCTAACCCTGGCCCTTCTGCACATTTATGATTAACTATTTAAAAAATTTTGAACCTTGTCCAATCTTGCATCGTAAATTGGATTTTTATTTAGGAAATATGTATAAAGATTTTTTTAAAGAAATTTCACGATTGGAGTTTGATCCATGGGGCTTGAATTTAAAATCGGCTCTTCCTCGCGGTGGGTTATTTGAGTATAAATAGTATAATTCGTATAATTGTTCTTATTTTGTAGGAAAACCATTTTGTCCTGCCTTACATGTTTTGGTCCTAGAGACAGAGAGAGTATATGGGGGAGACGAACGCTACGCCCCCTTTTGAGTTGGCTGGCAAGGAATACATGGGAAAGATAGGACGCGACCGCAGCGCCGACCTGGTGGAATTCATTTCAAAGCTCAAATCCGCTCTATCATTTTTCATGTATTCCTTGCCAGCTAACTCAAAAGGGGGCGTAGCATTCGTCTCCCCCATTATACTCTCTCTATTTGGTCCCTAGGGATAGCTGTTTTAACAACTCGAAAATACCCTCAGAGGAAAAGCCGATTTTAACTGTAAACAGGAAGATAACATGAGAGTTTAAATATTTTTTTTTTTTTCATAATTGTAAATTATATAATTTTATTTAAACCTCATTACTGCAATCTTTGTTACATTATAAAAGAAAAAAATAAAACCATGAGAGTACAATAAAAATAATGTTTTTTGCAACAACGTATACATATATTATTGATATTATTGAAATGAAAATCATTACGTGATTATGTTTTTTGTTTGTTGAGTTCAGTTGAGTTAATCCTATATTTTTGATAAAATAAAATATTTTTAATCGTTTTTAACGTATACTTTTAGGTCTTCAAGTGCCACAAATTGATGCTGGCAAGAGCGAGTCCTTTTTTTGCAAAAATGCTGTATGGGTACTTCAGTGAGTCGTTCAGAGACAAAGATGACCCCATTCAAATCAGCCATGTTCAACCTGAGATCTTTGATCTGGTGATGAAGTGTGTTTAATAAATATTTTTTAATTTTTAACTATGTAAGGTAATCGCCTTAGTGGTCTACTCCATAATTAATATTACAGATATATTTACGGTGGTGAAACTGACTTCAAAGATGTGGAATCAGCCTGCAAAGTCTATGTAATTTCTCACGAGTGGCTGATGAACGACTTAATGAAAGCTGCCAAGGATTTTTTTAAAACGCCCAGTCCTGGAGATGTCATCAGCGTGCATGAAATGTACAAATCCTTGAACGATAAGTCGCACTCTACATCGCTTCTTGCTGTACGTTTTTAATAGTGATAAATTAAATTTGTAATAAAATTTATTTTCATTTTTCTCTACAGGAAATTGCCTCTAATGCGAGTGCTGTTCTAAAGTCAACTGCTTGGTTGAAATCGTCTGCATCTACGGTGCATGAAATTTTTCAAATGAAGCATCTGAAGATTGATTCTGAAAAAGAACTATTTGAAGCTTTGTATGCTTGGGGAGCTGCTGGTTGTAACAAGCAGAATGAGGAGAAAATCTATGTGGAAGAAATCAGAGCTAAGACAAGGGATGCTCTGAAACTAATCCGCTTCATGACAATGGATGCAGATGAATTTGGAGAACTTTGCAAATCTGACTGTGCCAAAATGATGACCGACGAAGATAAGGTGAAAGTTTTCATGAGCATAAACTTGGCAGACAAAAGCCTCTTGCCTAGTGAATTTGCAGCCGTGCAGTACTTTAGAAAATTAGAAAGCAAAGAATTGCACAAGTTTACTATAGTTAATGTTAGTTCAGGCACTTACAGTGCAATTCAATTGAGCTGCAGCAGCACTAAATCAGATTTCATATTTGCATGCCAAAATAGCAACTATTACTTAGAAGGTGTTCGCCTCGAATGCTTACTCCAAGGATCAGATGTAGACCTCATTTGCAATGTTACTGGTGCTCACTCACCAAGAGTACTTTCTTCTATTTCTTTAAGAGGACAGTTTCAAATAAAGGGTTCGAAATGGTTAACTTTCCCACAACCAGTGCATCTTAAAGCAAATGTCTTTTACACCATATCTGTTCAATATTTACAAACGAATCTTGTAAACTCCATCTCATCCAAATGGGGTCAAAGGTTAGTTTGGAATAGCTGCGACTTAAACCTGTTACTGCCAAATTTAAATAATGTTCTGGTAGACTTCAGTGGATTGGCTGCTTTCAGGTGCCCAAAATAGTTTGTATCAAATCTCTTGGCAAATAAAGAGTAAAAAAAAAAATCAAATTTTATGCTAACTATAGTATTAGTAGCTGAAGAAACATATGAAGCAATGAGAATTAAACAGTGCAGGGCCAGACTGGGGCTCTGCGGCCCATCAGGCGATATCATTAAGGGAGAGGGTCCAGTTCGGCAGTACATTTTACATCACAAGACTTTATGTTCAATTTTGCCACAGCCCATAATTATACTGACTGCCCCACCATCCGCAGTCTAGGCCCGGGATGATGAATAACATATTTAAAAAAAAAATTCAGAAATGTTCTACTCATCATCCTTTTCCTAACTTAATCTTATAATAATTCAAATTTAAAACAAAATCAATATCACCTTCACTAAAATGCCTTGCATTGTTGAAGAAACTATAAGTGCAGCAAAAATGAAAAAATAATGCAGAAATTTATTTTCAATTGGATGGATATTGATGCCTCAAAACTGCTTGGCCTTTTTATTGAAACAGGCGTATTACAACATTTAATTCCGCGCTCAAGTTTATTATATGTTATGAAAGTAATCAAATTATTATATAATATCAATGACTTCGATCACTAAAAGAATCCAGCCAGCAGACCCTGTATTTTTAGGCGAATCTTTTCTATTCGAGAACCACCTTGAACTTTTTACATACAAAAATCAATTAAAAAATCTCAACACAAAGTATGGTTTGGCGCAAATAAATTATGTTCCCATGTACATGCATTCAAATAAAAAACTTCAAGCAGCTCATTTGTCTTTGCTGTTCAACTCGACAGTGGTGTTTTTCTGCTCCTCTGTCATGTCTCTGTCGCCCCATCCCCACAGGTAGTGGGTGCCATCGCCGGTTCTGAGCACACGCTTCTTGACCACATCACTTGGCACGGTCTTCATGTCGTAAGCCCATCCAATTTTACCAAAGAAGTCGATGAACGCCGTTGTGGCGTTCAACCTGTAGTTGCCGAGTTCAGCAGTTTTGTAATCCCAGGGAAAGACGTGGTGATAGTTGTGCCAACCTTCACCCATCGCCAAAGCAGCCACAGAGAAGTTCTCGGAAGGATTAATGCTCCTGAATAGAGATAAAAATAAATAATAATTTTTATTTTTATTAATCTACCAGGAAATCAAAATAATAGAATGTAAAAGAAAAAAAACTCACTTGTCGTAGGGCTTGTTGCCAAACATGTGGGCAAAGCTGTTGACCATCCATGTCACATTCAGGGTGATAGTGTATCGGAAAAGGGTTGCGCCGAACCACGAAACGGTCCAAGATTCATTCCACATGAAGACAGGAATCAAGGTGGGAATAATGAAGCAGAACAGTGGCATGAGATACAAGTAGTATCTGGAACAAACAAAAATTATTGATTATAATTTTGTTCAGATTCAGAATAAAGTTAGTGTTAAATTTTAAAAGATTTTAGCAGATTTTAGATTGCGGTTTTTAAAATCTGATTTTTCATATTATATAATCAATATATTTATATCAAAAATCAAGTTTTATCCAATATAAAAAATACTATGCAGATAATTCCCTTTTAAAGAAAAAAAAAACTAATACCTAAAATATCATTAAAAAAAATTAAAATCAGTTTTATATTTCAATAAATCTCAAATATTATATAATTTAATACACATACTTCTTCTGGAACATGACAATTTTGTCTTCCTCAAGGTCCTTCAAGCTGATTCCACTGCCCTTTTCAATCACCAAGGGGTGCTTGCGGCAGACGAGCCAGCCAACGTGGGAAAAGAAAAATCCACGCTTGGCGTTGTGAGGATCAGCATCAGTCTCACTGTACTTGTGGTGCACACGGTGGTCGCGAGCCCACTCATAAATGTGATTCTAAAGATTTTCTTAATAAATTGGAACAAGAGAAGGAAAATTTTTCAAAATACTTGAAAGGCAATTGTGTTGAAAATCATGAGAATAATTCTCAGAGGCCACTTTGCCTTGTAGCCGCGGTGAGCCCAAAGTCGATGAGCTCCAGCTGTAATGCCAAGAGCACCAGCTTGGTACATAAGGACAGCTGTAAAAATTAAGTTAATATTTGCATGGAAATTTATTTTAATTTTTTACTTACTAAACAAAACGGTGGCAAGTTTTGCTGAAGTGCAGAGCAAGTATAGCCCGTAGGGAGCAACCAAGTGCAAATAGCCAAGCAGAAAGACGTTGCGCCAACGGATAATGACGCGGTATGGTTTTGTGGTCGCCACCTTCTCCGAGGTCACAGCGTTGTCCTCGACGGGATTTTTGATTTTGAGTGCGGACACCATGTCCTGGTCTTCTTCCTCGTAAAGGACGCCGGTGGGGCCATCAGGCTCTGTGGCAGGGCGTGGTGTGATTGTGTCTGGGCCAAGGGAAGCAATGACGCTGAAAGCAATGACGAGTTCCAATATTACAAAAATTTGCTTAGAAATCATTTTAAATTATTTAAATAATAAAAAAGTATAAAGATGTTGAGCGTGCTCATTTTTTTTTCTTTATATAAAATTGCACATTCATTATATTATATAATAGGCCATGCCACCCTGGGTAGATGGTGACGGCGACCTTTGACCCAAGGTTATCAAAGTTCAGGAAATTATATAATTGAAATATTGCTGTATAATGAGGATTATTTTGTCATATCATTTGTAACTTTTAAATCTCATCTATCGCACCGTCTCAGAAACAAAGCAATCAGGCAGCATTAAGTATTTACATATTGACCTAGGTTTTTAAGGAGCATCGAAAATCGCTCAATCAACGAATTTTTTTTTAATCAACCAACATTATTTCTCATAAGTTAAAAAAATACTGTACAAATTAAACGTATTTCAATTAAATATTTTTTCTGTGCCTAATTTTCTTTCAAATCGTATTTAAAAATAATAAAAACAAAATTAAATAAAAATCAATTTCTATCAGTATAGCAAACAGGTATGCAATTGATTGAGCAGAAAAATTGATTTGGTGTCATTATGTATTCAGCTGAACTGTGACCGTGCGCATTAATGTAAGGAGCAGACTCTCAAAGCATGCACAGCCATGCACAAACGGTGCTCTAAGCACATGTAATTTGACCTCAATGACCTACGACTCCTATACGAGTCACCCTAAAATGTAAGAAATCTCATTGGCACTCATTGCGAAAGAGAGGCTTGTACCGAATTAGAGCAGCTAGCGGCTCTGGAAGCTTCTTAACAGTCCATGCCGAATAAACTACAAGCGAGTCCACTGCGTTTTAAATTGATCGAATGTTCCAGAACGTTCTTTCCAATCCAGAGATTATTTAATTCGCATTGCTTGTAGGTATGACCTTTGAACCGATGCTCACGTTATATGGTGCAAACTGAGAGATTAATCAATAAATCTTGTACAAAGTCTGAAAATTTACGCCACTAATCGCGTGTCACACCCATGCTCAGATTGCTCAGTCTGATAATACTAGATTATATTGCATAATAAAAAAATGCAATATATAGTTATTTATCTATAGATACAAAATTTCGTTTGCGTGTTAATGATAAAAAAATTCAATAATGATAAAATGTGATTAATTTCATATAAGAAATATTTCTCTCATAATAAAAGCAAGATACTGAAGAGATGTGAAAATTAAATTATTTACCAATATTTCTACATAAAAATAGCATTTTTTGGCAGTTCTTAACAACGAAATTATTGCATGATTGAAAAGGAATCCACTTTTTTAATTTTTATTGGGAAATTGTTAATTATTTTCATTATAATATTATTTTTATTTCCTAGTAGTCCAGAAACTAGTTTTATTACTTTTAAAATTAATCCACTGGAAAATATTAAAACAACTTTTGAGACCCCAAATAAAAATCCAAATTCAAAGATCTCAAACTTGTATCAGAAATTGCAAAATTTTCTCAAAACAGTTAATGTGGATTGCTCATTATTTGGTTTTTAGTACATAACTTACATAAATCAGTCAATTAAAAAAATAGCAAAAGTAACCCATTAACATTGAACGAACAAAAGAAGATTTGTAAATTAAGATAAGCTATTTGTATGTCTCACCTTTCAACCTTGTTGCACAGCTTCTGCAAATCTTCGATGCTGGCCATGATTTTTCCTCCAGAGGTGTTTTCAGCAATCAAATAGCAACTCGGTATGGGCGACTAATTATATTTTTGCAATATAAAGCCGGTCGCTCATGCCACTATCGATGCAGCACCAAGTGCAGATGCAGAAGTGAAGATCGATGAGATGCAGAGCACGCGAGTTGAAAGAAGAGAGAAGCGCGCGGGTCGCAGACGATATCGACTACCCGTGGTGCTGACACGGCGTCACGTGACGCTCCTCCGCACCGGCATTCATTGGCGAAAACGCAACGCACCACGATCACCACATGAGCAGCGACCAAACCAGCTCTCGCTCCCTTTGGTCCCCGCACTGTGGGGCTGCATGTTGCCAAGTAGTGGCTGCTGCAATTAAAAATAAAACTTATGCAAGACAAGGTCATTGACTGCCTCGTAACCACTTTTTTGCACCGCGCCAAAAAGAATAAGTGCAATTTTTTTTTAAATTTTTGTATCCATACCAATACCAAATCTACACAAAATTTCTTTCTACATTTTATTGATTAATTTCTCGGAGATTTTTTTCATTACCGATTTAGAGATTAAGTTTATAATGACCAGCGCCAATTGAATAGTGCATGTTTATTTTACTTTTTTTAATGCTCCATTTTGCTGATTAAAATGTTTTTCGAAGCTCTTTCAGTGACTTATTGAGAATAATAAGTTGAACGTCTTGTTGTTAGGTAAAGTGGCCAGGGTCAATATCAATACGTCAAGGTCTGTGCGTTCTGCACAGCTGCAAAGTGTGTGATGAGATCGGGTGATCGCATCACCCACTTATCTCGTGCGCGCGGCAGTCACTGCAAATAACAGTGGCTCCGGCGATGACGTAATAGTAACTTGCATTGTCTTTCCTTTGTTATTATGTAGAAATATAATAACATTATAGTCGATACTTGTTTTTATTGTTGAAACTTGATTGGATTTTGCGTAAAAGATCTATGCTTGAGCAATAGGAGAGAAAAAAATGAAAAAGAAACATGAAAAGAAAATTTCAATTGCTTAATTCATCAACGTCAATATTTTCATTTTGAAAGTGTTATAGTTTGATAAGTTCACAATTTAATCACACATTGGCAATTTTTTATATTTTTGTCTAATTTAAATATTTTCAACTTTTAACTTTTGTAACCTCATTGTGTAAATATAATAATTTAAAATTCAATTTTAGAAAATTTTCAGCAAATTGTTTTAAATCATTTTTTACCAAATTAAATATAACAAAATAAGATAATTAACTAATTGTAAGTAAGGAAATTGTTTACTGGGCTACAGCTTGTTGATGTTCAATAACTGTCTTTAGTGGATTACTTTTTTTAAGAACATTATTTTTTAAATGTTTTAATTTTTAAATATAGTTGAAAGCATTAAAACGAATGTAAAATATAATCACATGTGCTGAGATGCCAGATTTATTACTATTTGAAAAAAAAATGCTTTCCCAACAGTACTTTCCTTGTTCTGTGGTTTTTTTTCTAAATTTGGCTAGACAGGAAAAGCCAAAAAAGAAGTCATCAATTCCAACAGTTATAGATATCAACCGCACGAAAAAGGTACCGACAGCTCACACTTAACTAACAAAATCGCGCAAGGAAAAGTATTCGTGGCTAATTTTTTATTATACTCTCCGATGCCGCCGAGTGTAATTATTATTAGACTGTCCTAATTAGTTCAGTGAACCCAACACTAGTTTTTTAATCCCAAGAAATCATCTGCGAAATTAATTTGTCCAAATTTAATAATAAGATGTGGAGAAAATGAAGCGTGTACCTGTTGAAACGAGAAAAATAATTGAATCACAAAAACAGGCGCTTTATTTTTGCAAACAGGCATTAATCTTAAAGTTGGTTTTTGTCTGGGCGTAATTACTCCGGCAAATACATACGTTCACGGAGAGATGAAGCAGCAAAGCAATTACTGGCTTCAAGTATACGCGGCAAAAAGAAGTTGCGCCAAAAAAGCCTATAAGGGCTCATCACCAAACAATACATCATGTTCGTATTCACATTAACCACATCACAGGCCCGGCAAGGTCGGAGCGCGGCTTCCAACGTAAGATCTTCTCCAACGTTATTGTGATAATTCACGTGCCCTGCCGCCCGACGAGATCGAGTATTTTGAAATCAGTGGTCCATGGCAAAGTGTGAATAATGCCGAGCAATTGAATTTTGCGGTCCGTCTGCCCAATATACACTCCCGCGTGCGCAGACCGCAGGCTTTGATTTTCACGTCGAAGAAGCAAATTCACACAATACCATCTCACACGTGATCAAATAACAAAAAGAGAGGATAATTTGTTTTGCTCTGGTTGCGCCACACACGTCTCAAATTATTGTATACAATTTTCTCCCTGATGCTTCATATCACTCTCTGTCGGAGCCAATTTGCGTCAGTTTGCGAAATTGACAATTATTTGCAAATGCGTTTGCAAAAGTGCAGTTATACGCAAAGCCCACTGATAAAAAATGCATGGCTTGATCACAATAGTTTTGGTAAAAATAATTTTTATCACAACTGTATGATCTCACCAATTTTTTGCCATTAATTATCTTTTCATTCTGCGCATACAAAAAAAAAACGATTATAATATAATATACCATTGATGAGAACAGAAAATTTCAATTTATACATTCCCCATTTCACCTATTGAGCTTTTGGCTTCATCCGCCATCGAGTACAACAATCAAACAATGCCACACATGACTTTATTTACAAGGTCCCTTGCCTTAATTTACAAGTGATTTAAATAGATTGAAATTAAATTTAAACTAATAATTATTTTTTTTAGATAGAGTCGTGTGGATTTTAAAGATTTACAAACACTCTTGACGCACCACCGACTAAGTTTGTAAAATACTGAAATTGTGATAACTTAGCCTAATTTTTTTGTTTTGCTTGAAATCATACAGTAATAATTAATTTCAAACTGAATATCAAGGTTCGCGCATCAGAACAATTGAAAATTTTTTCGATTGTTGTTTGAGCTCTCTGATTGGGTGCATGTAAAGTTGCACCCAATCAGAGCGCTCGGCAACAATCAAAATTTTCTAGTGCGCGAACCTTGCTGAATATATAATTGCGGTAATTGCGTTGGTTTAATTTTTCCCTCTTTATTTAAAAGCTAAACCAGAGCGTACAATTACTTTTAAGGTTATAATCTTTCACAAATTATATCACTCATATATAAATGATTCAATTTTTATTTTATGCAGGTGGTGCTGTTATATTTCCCCAGTTCATGGAAACCAGAAATAAACGATGTAGTTAATCGTCAATAAATTTCCTCAATCCTTGGGCTAAACCGCAAAGACAAATATCTCAGGCCGGCTGGAGAAGCAATTTTTTTTGCCGGGGAGTTAAAACTGTACGCACATCTCTAGTTAAAACAACCAGTTTTATTCTTTCATTCTCTTTATTCGGCAAAGAGAAAAGCCATTCCGTTAAATCTCTGCCCATTCCGGGTAATGGAGAGTGAAAAAGAAAAAGACGTGTTTTCGGGCGCAAATTAACATATTCATCAGGTGCGCGCGGTGGTCGTGTGTCAGGGCGTGCTCCTGCGCCGCCGACCGACTCCTCTCTTCTCAATAGATATGTGTTCACTAGCTCTTTTTAGACCTCGCAGTCGGCACTCACTCCTTCCCAATGCGCTCATTATTCTTTTTTCCTCTATTTGATCGCTGCCAAAGACGAGCAGAGCACCTGCTCGGCACTCGCCCGCCGCACGGCGCGCAAGCCCACATTACTTTTGGTGCCTCCTTAAAAATAAAGCAGCGTACAAAAGAGTACTGAAGTATTTCACTAAAAAAAATTAGACCTCCCCATTAAGACTTTAATAAAATTGAGGGACAAACTTTCAGGAGCTTCAAGGTCTTGAAAATTTTCATATACCTTTCAAAACTAATTTTGAAGCTTGTGCAAATAAGTTGCAGACCAGGTATCAAGCAAATTTCTCTTTTCGTTTTCTCGTTTTTAAAATTTTTTGTTAATATTTTTACTCTCTGTTATTTTGTTGGAAAATCTCTCATTAATCATATTAATTTATTCAAAAAATTAATACATTTTAAAATGAAGAACGGGCGGGAGTGTGCTGGATTGTATATTGAACGAATAACGAATCATTCTCAGCATTGTATGTTCATGGCGGCGACTGCTGTCTTTTGCTTTGCCGTCTTTTATGATTGTGTGTATTGTGAATATGTGTCTATCCGAACATACGCATGGAGCCAAAGCGGCAGGTGCCACGAGAAAGAGAGACGGTGCGCCACTGCAGACACACTCTCGCGCAGGATGCTCCTTTTTATCTCAGCCCAAGTGAGTGAGAGGAAAACAAAGCCACGTGCGGATGACGCGGTGTCCACGCGCAAGCAACCATTGAATATGTTTTTAAATGCTTTTAATTTTAATGCGATACTTTCAAACTGCGAGACATCAAATGCGAACTAGAAAATTGAAATTTATTACTGTCTATTACATTTTTGCTATTTTTTTAATTTTTGTTGCCTCAGAGGAAAAAGCATCAATTTTAATTAAAATGCTTAAATAGTAATAATAAAAAAGCAACTAGATTCTATTATAGGCTGCAATCCTTATTTCAGACAAAAGGATGATTGCTTTTGATGGACAAAAGTAGTGTATTTTTGTCAATGATGCATTTATCATCATTATTAATTTTTTTTTTATAACAAATAAAGAAGAACTCGGACAGACTATAGTTCATCTTAATTTCACTCACTCCTCCATTGTTGGCTTAATTTTTATGAACAGCAAGTTTCCAATTTTTTAAATTTTGAATGTATACCAAACTAAACTTTTCTTTAACATTTTACGTAATATGTGATTTACTTGCAAGTTTCTCTCGAACCTTGATGACCGGTCGAGAGGAAGAATCTCAGCGGTAAAAAGTGGCCGGAAGTGTCAAGGTAGGACATATTTATTTTAAAATATTATAACTTTACTCTGATTTTTCAACATTATTTTTCTTGATCTCAAGGTTCACGTGCGAGCCATGCATCATCCACGGCCGACTTGCAATGCGCTTTGCTTGAATTGAAATCTCCTGCGCGCATTCCACGCACAAATAAAATCATCCGTCTCATCGAACGCACTTGAATTTACTCTGTTGAGCGTGCGAAATCGCGCTCTCGAAATGGCACCGACACAAAG